ATTCGGTTGAGCTCCCTGTCCCTGTGGGACCCCTGAAACGCGTGAGAGGTGTGCCTAAATGGGCGGCGAGGACACGTGTGGACGCTGTCACTGCGGCCTTCGGTGGAGCTCCCTACAAGGCCAAGACGCATGTGAGCGATGTACCGAGATGGGTGTCGAAGAGGCATTGTGGACGCAGCCACTGGGGCCTTCTGTGGAGCTCACTGTGGGGCCACGACACAAACTGTGCAGCGGTGTGCCGAGATGGGTGGCGGGATCGCATGTGGACGCAGCCACTGAGGCCTTCGGCGGAGCTGCCCATAGGGGCCACGAAACGTGTGAGCGGTGCGCCGAGATGGACGCGGCGACGCCATGCGGACGCCATGCGGGAGGGAGGATGGGGATTAGGAAGTAAAGAAGGCGAGGTGGAGCGCGACGCTCTCTTCAGACTGAGGGCCCAACGCCACAGGATGGCTGGAGGCCAAAGATACTCAAGATCGCTGCGCTTCCGAAGCCGGTAGGCCCCACATGGCATCAGAAGGCCGCAGAGATAGCCCAGAAGCACACATGACGGCCTCCAGGCAGCCCCCAAAGCGCACTCCGGCTCCAAGGCGATCCCAGGATAACTAAAGGCCACCCGGAGATCGCCCAAAGACGGCACAACAAGCCTCCACACGCTCTAAGATCCCCTCAACAGGCCTGCACGAGACGCCCGACGGTACCTCCATCGAGGCCCTCAGAGGAGACAGCTATGAAACAGGGCTGAACCTGGGCGGTGTTTTTCGTTTTCGTTTTGTTTTCATTTGCCCTCGCTTTTGTCTAGGATCCGCTTTTTACTGCAAAACGAAGTCGAAACGAAAACGGCCCACGAAATCGCCAAAAACACCCTGTAACTCCAGCCCTGCTAGGGAACAACCAAACATAATCAGTGCTGTTTGCGCTCGAGGTTCTGCAGTTTCAGACTGCCTCGGGAAGGCGAGCGCCCAGCAGCTATAGAGACGGCCCAAGATTAGACAGCCCCACATGTGCACCTCTCTGCTTTTCAAGGCGGTGCCAAGACAACTTGAGACTTCCCTAAAGCGGCTGCAAGGTGCCGCATGGCCATTCAAGGAGGGCCGCCCCCTGGCTCCGAGATCCCCCGATAGTGACCGGAGGGACCCCAACAGGCCTCGGGGAGACGCCCGAAGAGACCTCCAACGAGGCCCTCAGAGAAGCGAAACGCAGAAAAAAGTACAATCGACCAGTGTGCACGGTTCCTCTGCTTCCCTGCTTCAGATCGCATCGGGCATGCTACAGAGAGCCCCACGAGAGCTTCCAAGACAGCCCAAGGCTGTCCCCACGCGAGCCCCCGAGATGGCCCGGAGACCGCTGGAGAACCCTCCAAGACGATCCAAGAGACCAAGACAGCCCCAAGACTCGCCCACCCGTCCCCAAGATGCTTCAGCCGAGCCTCTTCGGGTGAGTACGGCGGAGACGCAGCGCCGAGCCAACGAGCACCCAAGAGGCCCCAAAAGAGCCCAAGAAGCCATCAAGAGGCCCAAAGGAGCCCCGAAGAAATGTCCAAAACAACAAAAACAACCAAAAATGTGGACAAGGAGGGGGTTCGAGACCCGCGCCAGCTCACACAGGGCACTGAGTTGGAGCGGATCTTGAGCTCGACTTCCTGCTGCGCTGCTGCGCTGTCACAGTGGCGGCTTCTGCCGCGGGCAGTTGTAGACAGAATCGAATCGGGCCCGCTTGGGCCGATATCGAACCCGATCGGTCGAACCGAAGATGGGCCTTGAGGGCTGGGAGGGGCAGCCGGCCCTGGGCGGAGAGCACGCCCGCATCCGCGGCCTCGCAGGCCGGGACCCCGGGCCGCGGCCCCATGCCGGGTTGGCCTGACAGGGGCCGTCGGGAAAAGGAAGAGACCCAGCCTGACATCTGACGCGGCCTCCCGCTGCAGACGCCCCGCGAAAACTGCACCGTCGTAAATCCAGGAAGGGCTCGTCCAGAAGCGTCGGCGAGCCAAAACTCCGCCGAAGTCGGGCCTTGCTTCTCCCCGGCCATGGTTGTGGATGCCATGACAATGGGCACTCTAACAATCCGATCATTGAATGAAAAAATGTGTTTCACATGTGTGAAACATGTTGTAAAAACAGTTTCAACTATGCTTTTTTAACATAATGAAAACATGTTTGAAACATCTTTTAGACATCTGGAAATGTTTTGGCAGCATGCTTCCTCTCCATTAATCGACCTCCACAAGGCCATGGGGACGGAGCCTTCCAGGTGCCCCGCGCGGAGCGTGCCCGGGCGACCGAGACCGCGCGGGCGTGGGCACGGGCGCGTTCGCCGCCCGCGAAGCAGGCTCGGGAAGCGGCGGCGGGGCCTGAGCTGGGCGGCATCCGAGAAGAGGGGTGGGCGGGCGCACGCCAGCTCAAAAGATCCGTTCCCAGAAACCTCCTCCTCCTCCTCCTCCTCCTCCGCCGCCGCCTCCTCCTCCTCCTCCTCCTCCTCCTCCTCCTCCTCCTCCTCCTCCTCCTCCTCCTCCTCCTCCTGCTCCTCCTCCTCCTCCTCCTCCTCCTCCTCCTCCTCCTCCTCCTCCTCCTCCTCCTCCTGGCGTCCATCTGGTGTAGTTGTTCGCCCCAGGAGTGCCTTCGACGGTGCTGGGGCCCGAGGACGGGCCACCTCAGACCCCCCCCCAGCTGGCTCCAGAAGCCATCGTGCTGCCACAGGGAACGCTGAAGAAGGAACGGTGGGGCTTGCCTTAGGTCGGGCATCTCCCCCTGCAGGCGGAGTCTGGGCGAAAAATAAAAAATCCGAAAATACTCAACAAGGCAAGGAAAATCCTCAAAACATCGTTCCCCGACGATTTGTTACTATTTTCGAAGATTCCTTCTATAGAGGGGCATGCCCGATGCAAGGCCTGTCTGGCCACGAGCGGCTTCCCCGACTCAGAGCTCGGGGCCAGCCCGAAAACCGGAGCCGCCCCTCCCGAGCCCGGGTGGGTCCTGCTACTCCATCGTCTTCACTCGGGAGCGGCCAGGAGGGGGGTGTCCAAGAGGGGGGGGGTGCAAATCATGACCGGCGGCATGTGCGAGGCCCAGCGGGGGGGGCAGGGACGTAATGAAATAAGAAGAGGCGCCATGAAATCTGGGGAAATATCATGGCCCCCGCCATGATATCCACCCCCCCTAGTCATCACCCCCCTCCTTTCCGCCCCCGATTCACTGCATGGACATGCACTCTGGGTTTCTGAATAAGCGTGGGGGCACCCCCCCCGACAGAGGTCAGCCTCGCCTCGTCGTCGCGCCGCGACGGGGGTCGGAGCGCCTTCGGCGCGCGGTGGCTGCCCGCGACGGGGGTCGATGGGGGGCTGTCGGCGGGGGCTGTCGGCGGGGGCTGTCGGTGGGTGTGGGCGGGCGGGGCGGAGCGGGAGGCGAGGAGGCATGCAGGGGAGAGGAGGAGCAGCAGCAGGAGCGGCAGAAGCCAAAGGGCCAAAGGGAGAGGGAGGGAGGGAGGCGGAGGAGCACGGGGGAGGGGAGGGGAGGGGAGGGAGGGGAAGGAGGGGGGGGGGAGGGAAGGGGAGGGGAGGAGTGGAGGGAAGGAGGGGAGGAGGGGAGGGAAGGGGGAGGAGGGAGGGAGGGGAGCACGCCTCTTCTGGTCGAGCCGCGCGCCCGCGCCCGCCGCCCGCCCGCCCCCCCCGACGAGGGCGGGCCGCGCGTGCAGGCGCGAGGGAGGCGGCGCGGGCCCCGCAGCGGTTCAAAAACTTGGCGCCCGCGGAGGGCGGGGCCCTTAAAGGGCGGGCCCCGCGCGCGCTCCGGAGGGGCCTCGAGGGCCGCGCGCCGCCGCGGCGCGGAGGGCGGCGGAGCTCCGCGGCCTCCCCCACGGGGGAAGGGATGCCCTCGCGGGGGCGGCCATGAGGGGGGCGTCCAAGAGGGGGGGGATGCCAAGAGCGGCTTCCCCGACTCAGATCTCGGGGCCGGCCCGAAAACCAGAGCCGCCCCTCCTGAGCCCGGGTGGGTCCTTCTACTCCATCGTCTTCACTCGGGAGCGGCCAGGAGGGGGGCGTCCAAGAGGGGGGGGCGCAAAGCATGGCCGGCGGCATGTGCGCGGCCCAGGAGGGGGGGCAGGGACGCAATGAAATGAGAAGGGGCGCCATGAAATCTGGGGAGATATCATGGCCCCCGCCATGATATCCACCCACCCACCCCCCCAGTCATCACCCCCCCTCTTTGCCGCCCCCGACCATGGAAGGATCACCACGGGAGCTGCCCCGCTGTGCTCGGCCTCTGGGGGCCCCCACCGGGCCTCGAGGCCGTCCCTTAAGAAGCCACTCGGGATGCAGAAAGGCCGGTCCCGGGGCACGGGCCGAGGCCTCTGGGGGTCCACATCGTGAACAAATCAGGACGTCGCGAGGCGGGCGTGGTGACGCCGAATGCTGCGCCGCACGGCCCCAGCAGTGCTGAAACAGTCCCACCCCCATCCCAAGCGGGACCTTCCCCCTCCCAAGACGGACCTGAAAACCCGTCCAGGACGCTTGGAGGCCCCTTGAGACCCTGGGAGGCACCGCAGAGGCCCCCGGATACCCGCAAAGCAAGCTGGTGGGGTGTTCTGGAGGCTATCAGGGGCGGCTTCTGCAATATTCTGATGCCTCATCGTGAATTCGTGAACCATCCTTGCGAATCGGCGACGGCCGGCATAGACCATTACCAAGATGGGCGTCGACAAAATCACGCGACAGATCGGTCATGGTCATCGCACTCCCTCCCTTACGAGGCAGAGAGAGAACGAGGCGCGCAGAGTCTTGCGCAGGCGTGGTGTCGGAGCTTGCCGCAGGCACCTGGATATTTCAAAACGATACGCACTGGCGGAGGCCTCCAAGATGGGGCCCGAGAAGATGGGCTCAGAGGACCACGCCGCATCGCCAGTGGATCGCCAATGCATCGCCGATGCAGCGGCGATGTCAGAGAATCGGGCCCCACATGGAGCCGCATCGCCTATGCACCGGCGACACGTCGTCGTCCTCCGACCCCATCTGCTCTGACTACCTACCAGACCACCCGAACCCAACCCGAAGACCCGAATTTCGGGTTGGGGGGGTAAGGGTTCCACACGTGTTTTTTTCGATGTTTCCCGACACCCCCCCCCCCACTGGAAATCGAGGGTAAATCTGAGCCTTCGGGTTGGGTTGAGGTGGTTTGGTGGGTGGTGATGCTCTGGCCCCACCCGCGAGGCCTGGAAGCGAAGACGCTGCCGCGCACTGCCCGAGCAGGCCGCGCGCGGACGAGGCGCCCGCCGCCAGCCCGAAGAGACGGCGGCTCAGGACGAGTACGGCGACACGCCCACCTGCTGGGGCAGACAAGAGTAGGCGGCGCGCCCGGGGGGGAAGCGAGCAGGAGAAGGCCTCCTCCAAAGGCTCGGGAGTCCACCCGGCCTTCTGAGAGAAGTTTCCCTTGGCCTTCCCCGAAGCCAGACAGGACTCCTCGGAAGGCCGGAGGCCTCCTGAGAAGTCCCGCCGCCTTCTGCGGAGGCCTGCTCCCTCTCTGGAGGGCCAAAAATCCACCCCGACAATAAGCACTCCGACACGCGAGGCCTCTAGTGAACGCGCCCAGAGCAAGAATCGAGCAGGGCAGGGCTGCTTCGTAAACGCCCAGGGGCCGTTTGGTAAACGCCCACTGTCCGGTCCGGGTGGTCTTTCCTCCCTTGATTCTCACTTCCCCTCCTCGCTCGCCGCCGAGACGAGCGAGGGGGGCCCGAAGCCACACGGGACTGCTCGGAAGGCCAGGAGGCCTCCTGAGAAGTCCCGCCGCCTTCTGCGCAGGCCTTCTCCTTCTCCTTCTCACTTCCCCCCCTCGCTCGCCGCCGAGACAAGCGGGGGGGGGGGGATGACGCGGGGGCACTTTGGCGGCGCGCACAAGGGGGTGGAAGGAGGGGGGGGGCTTCTTAGAAGGAGGCTGCTTCTTAGAAGGCGCCATTCTTACATCTGTAGGTAAGGCCCGCGCCTTCTAAAAAGCAGGAGTGCTTCTGAAAAGCCCTCCCCCCTCCCCCCACCCCCCTCTGCGCGCGGCTGATCCTCCTTCTCGCTTCCCCCCCTCGCTCGCCGCCGAGACAAGCGGGGGGGGGATGACGCGTTGAGCAGGGACCGACCGTCCCGGCATTCCTATAGTCATACCACGAAATGTTCTTAGAGCCCGAAAATGTTCCAGGAACAAAAGCAATGTTCTTAGAACATAGACCCGATGTGTTAAAACGAGACAGACTCCGCCAGAACTGTGCTCAGAACATCTCGCGGAAACCAAAAAAGGTTCTGAGAACATTGTTTGGTACAGTCGGGGCGTTGACCTAAGGAACCCTAAATAAGGAACGAGGCCCTTGTTTCCCACAAGTTAAACTTCGATTTCCCATCGAAAACATAAGGACAACCTGAGGCGAGCTGTGAAACAATCAAGGGACACCGAGCCCCTTCCCAACGAAAAGGGTTCCTTCTTCAGCGCCTCGACTGTAGGGCTATAGGCGAGCCAGGACGCTTCGCCACTGCCTGAACGCGGGGGCACTGGCGCAGGGGCCGCGTGCGGCCGGCCTGCCCCGGGCGCCTCTCCAGGCGCGCGGGGGGAGGCGGAGGAGCAGGAGGAGGAGGAGGAGGAGGCGGAGGCGGAGGCGGAGGAGGCGGCCGCGTGCCGAGGAGTGGCCGCTGTGCGTAAGCGGCGGCGCGGGGCCGAGGCCAGCGGCACGCGGCAGGCCTCGCGCGCGGACAGCGGCACGCGACACGAGAAACGAGCGTGTTGTATATATATATATGTATATATCTATATGCATTTTAGCACTAAGAAGAAGAAGAAGGATACTACTAATCATAATAATAACAACAGCAAGAATCATAATACTAATAAAAATAACAATACTAATATTACGAATACTAACGATAAGAAGAATAATGGTAATAATAATAGTACTAATACTAATAATAGTACAATTGATAATAATAATAATAATAATAATAATAATAATGATAATAATAATAAATTCGCATAAAGTAATAATCCGAATGATATGAATAACAATAATAATAATAAGCATCATCAGCATCATCATCAACATCATCATCAGCAGCAGCATCAGCATAAACAACAAAACAAAACAACAAAAAAACAAAAAAAAAAAAAAAAAAAAAAAAAATATATATATAAAAAAAAAAAAAAAAAAAAAAAAAAAAAAAAAAAAAAAAAAAAAAAAAAAAAAAAAAAAAAAAAAAAAAAAAACGCATGGAACATGTGAATCAAAAGGAAAACATGTTTGGGTTGTATCACACTTGCTCGGAGCGCGGCCATCGCGCTGCCATACGGAACCCGACCCGAGGACCGAGGGGGCGCTGCTGGCCACGGCGGGCCTGGGCCACGAGGGAGCTCCCCGACACGGAGCTGTGAAGGGGCCCAAGGACACACAAACAAATACACACAAACAAAGAGATTCCCCATATTTTCCCTTATGTTCTGGATTTTTGTCTTCCCCCCCACTTCCCATATTTCCCCACATTTTCTGGGGAATCGACGATTAATTGTGTCTGTGAGATTTTTCCCCTCCTGAAGCTGGGGGCACGGCCCCGGGGCGCCGGGGAAGGGATCCTGCCGCCAGCGGCCGGGCTGTCGGCACAGCAGCGGCAGGAGGGGGAGGGGGGAAAGAGGGGGAGAGGGGGAGAGGGGGAGGACGACGAGGGAGAGGGGGAGAGGGAGAGGGGGAGGACGACGAGGGAGAGGGGAGAGGGGAGAGGGGGAGGACGACGAGCAGCAGCAGCAGCAGCAGGAGGGGGAGAGGGGGGGGACGACGAGGAAGAGGGGAGAATCGGCACCAGCCACCAGGACGGGGGGGAGGTCGCACAGAGGGGGGCGCAGCAGAGGTGCCTGAAGCGCGGGACAAGCAGGAGGGGCATTCCCACAACTCTTGTGGATGCCATGACAGTGGACACCCTAACAATCCTACCATTGAAATAAAAATGTGTTTAAAATGTGTAAAACATGTTCTAAAATTATGCCAAACATGTTTTTACATAGTCAAAACATGTTTGAAACACGTTTTAGAAATCAGGCAATTATTTGGCAGCACCCTTCCTCTCCATTTATCGACTTCCACAAGGCTGGGCTGTCTGTACAGCAGATTTCGCCACCACCACCACCACCACCCCTTCCCCGATCCCCGAAGAGCCCAGAACCGAATCGACAAGTCGGCTCGGCGATCGAAACGAATCGGATCGGCGGAAGTCGGCAGCCAAGTCGGGAGACGTCGACTCGGCGGAAGTCGGCAAGCTGGCAAGACCTCCAGTACGAGAGCGAAGCCCACAGCGGATTCCGAAGCCGAAACGAGTCGGAATCGCAAGCCATCGACGTCGAATCGGACCGAGCCCTGCCCAGCCCCCACCCACCAACTCGCCCCCGCACCCGCTCGCCCTCGCCCTCCGCCTCCCTCTCGCCACCACCCGCTCAACCGCCTGCCCAGCCGCAGCGGGGCCCTTGGGGTGCGGCCCCTGCTGGCGGCGTATCGGGGGCGCGCAAACATGGATTAGCGATCCATGGATTTGACGCGCGGTCGCCAAATCCATGGATCGGTGGAGGTGCCCTCCCCAAAATGCGGCCGGTGCCGCCTCGCTCGGCGGCAATACTCCGCGATGTCCCATGGAAACGGGACCTGTCGCTAATCCACGCCCCTTGATCCATGGTTGCGATCGCCTGAGAGCAGAGGGGGAGTGGGGGGGAGGAGGGAAGGTGCCTTAGAAGGAGGCCGCCTCTTAGAGGGCGCGGGCCGTGCATCGATAGACAGGGCCCGCGCCCTCCGAGAAGCAGCCTCCTTCTCAGAAGCCTTCCCCCCTCGCCCCACCCCCTCTGCGCGTGGCCGACCCTGTTTGGTGGCAACTCATGGAAGCCTCCCATACCATCGTGTTGGCTCTTGCGAATCGACGCTAGTCGACGCTAAATCGACGCTCATCGACGCTAAATGGACGCTAAATCGACTCTAACCGACGCTAGCTCGGCGCTATCTCATCGATTCCCAGACGCTAATCGACGCCGGTCGACGCTAAAGACGGAATTAAGAGAGTATACCAGGCTCCCAAGATTTGCCACCGAAGAAGCCTCCTCCTCCTCCTCCTCCTCCTCCTCCTCCTCCTCCTCCTCCTCCTCCTCCTCCTCCTCCTCCTCCTCCTCCTCCTCCTCCTCCTCCTCCTCCTCCTCCTCCTCCTCCTCCTCCTCCTCCCTCCTCCTCCTCCTCCTCCTCCTCCTCCTCCTCCTCCTCTCCTCCTCCTCCTCCTTCTCCTCCTCCTCCTCCTCCTCCTCCTCCTCCTCCTCCTCCCCCCTCCCCCTCCCCCTCCTCCCCCTCCGCCCCCTCTGCGCGTGGCTGCCCCCGAGCGTCCTCCCCCCTTCGCCCGCTCCCCGCGCCTTGGGGTAGTCGCCCGTGCGGCCCCCGCCGAACGCGACGGACGCGGCCTTCACCTCCGGTCGGCGCGCCGGGCGCCGTCGCCGCCGCCGCCGCCGCCTTTGGAGGCGCCGTGTGCACCGCCTTCGGCGGCGAGCGAGGTTCGAGGTTCGAGGTTCGAGGTGCGCCGCCACGTCCAGGTTCGAGGTTCGAGGTTTTCGGACGTTTTCGTCGGTTCTCGGCAGTTTCCCAGCCTCGGGATGCTTGCCAGCAGCTGCGCCTCGCCGAGGGCGTTCTAGGGGTGCCAGGATCGTCCCGAACGCCCGCCGGAGACCCGAGTTCTGACCCAAAAACCAAAGTCGGCAACGAGCGAGGGGGGAAGTGAGAAGGAGAAGGCCTTCCCAGAAGGCGGCGGGCCTCCTCAGGAGCCCTCGCGCCTTCTGAGAAGCTCTTGTTTTCTGTCTTCGAGGAAGGGCATAGAAAGCGCATCCAGAGACCGGGGGGGCTTCCGAACCTTCTGAGAAGGCCTTCTCCTTCTCACTTCCCCCCTGCAGGAGGAGAAAAGGAAAACTGTCGCCGCCGGCTCCTGAGGGCTCACCTCGCTACGGCTGGACGCGCCTCGGGAAACGGGCAAGAGCACGCGGGGTCGGAGGGTCGCGCCGCGTCGCGGATGCACCGGCGATCCGCTGGCGACGCCGACGATGGAGGAAGTCACGCTCCACGTCGAGCCGCATCGCGGACGCATCGGCGATGCGGCACGATCCTGGAACCCCGTGTATACTTGGATCCCTTCTCCAGGCATTGGATATCCAGTACCAGGGCGTCCCGACTCCCTCACCGCGGCTAGATGGGCTTGTTTTCCACCACAACCACCACCACAAGTTGGAGGGGGAGGGGGTCCACCTCCTCCTCCTCCTCCTCCTCCTCCTCCTCCTCCTCCTCCTCCTCCTCCTCCTCCTCCTCCTTTCCCCCCCCAAAACTTCTGGTGGTGGTGGTGGAAAACATGCCCATCAACGGCTGGCGCTCCTTGACGGCCCTTGGGGCCAAGCATCGCCCATTCTGCCCACGTCTGCGGTTGCCCCGTGCCCTACGAGCGGCCTGGGCAGGCAGCCGCACGTGAACCCAAATTTGAAGGGGCCCAAGGACACACACACACATAAAAAAAAACAAAAAAAAAAAAAAAAAAAAAGATTCCCCATATGTTCTTATATTTTCTGGGTTTTTGTTTTCCCCCCCCCTTACTCTATTTTCCCATATTTTCCTGGGAATCGACGATTAATTGTGTCTGTGCTTTTTCCCCTCCTAAAAAATTACCCCTGCGGGCCAGGTCTCTGACCAGCCAGCTGGGGGGTCGAAGCTCGAAGGACACCTGCAGCCAAGAATGGAGCCCAGCGCGGACGTCCGATGCGAGCGAAAGCCGAGGCATCGCCACAAAATCGCGGGTCCAGAACAGGGGCCCCACGGAGACCCTCCAGACCAAGGACACTCCAGGGTGGAGAGAGCCCAGACACGCAGAAGACGAGGGCACCCCTCCAGAGCCAGGGATGCTCGTAGCCCCCGTGCCGGCTGTACCCTAGCGTCGATCGGACCCGCAGTGGTGTGGGGCTCGAAAGTGGTCGCAGACTGTGAGGGCCGTTGGAGGCGGCTGGGGGGTCTGCTCTGCATGGGCACCAGCAGCATCAGTCGAGAGGGCAAGTCTGGCGCCACATGCGGCAGTCAGTGCCCATCTGGAGGAGGCGGCCCAGAGGGGACAGTAGGAGAAGATAACATGGCATAAACGTAAACTGTTGGCGCTCCGCGCGGACTTCTTGGATCTGCGCTCGACCCCCCCTCCCAGGCGCGCGGAGCGCGCCAGAGGCGGCGCCAGAGGCGCCACCAGGGGGGCCCAGCGCGGATCCAAGAAATCCGCGCGAGTCGCCAGAAGTTTATGTTTATAACCTCTGTTCTTCTTCGATCCTAAGACCTAAGACGCCAGACATGTTCTGAAAACGTGTCGTGCAGACCTCGAGAGGTTCTTAGAACACTGCCTGGTAGGGCCTATGGGCAAGGCAGGACGCTTCGCCACTGCTCGAGAGAAGCCTTCCACCCTCCGCCTACCCCGTCCCCGCTGGGGGAACCAAGAGCTGCCGACACCGCTGCTCCTTGGGCCTCCCCTGGGGCGGGTTCTGCCCAGGACCTCGGGGCGAGTCCCGCGGTGGCGACGAGGGCTGCACAAGGAGGCCCGACAAGAGGGGAGAGCGGGGGAAGGATAAAGGCACCCATCGGTCGTTGAAGGTGGGCGTTGTGGGATTCCCCGAATCCAGTCCACCGAAAAAGCGCCTTCCTGCTTCAGTGATCGAGTGGCTTCACCCGACCCTCCGCGCGTGGCCGACCCCCACAGCGAACCGGGCGCCCTCCCGTGCAGCTTGGGCCCGTTTCTCCTCCTCCTCCTCCTCCTCCCCCTCATCCTCCTCCTCCTCCCCCTCCTTCCCCTCCTCCTCCTCCCCCTCCTCCTCCTCCTCCTCCTCCTCCTCCTCCTCCTCCTCCTCCTCCTCCTCCTCCTCCTCCTCCTCCTCCTCCTCCTACCCAGGGAGACTCGGGCTGGCCCGACTGGGCCGTCATGAAAACGACGCGACCGCGTCTGAAATCTGACGCGCGCTCCCGCTGCAGACATCCCACGGAGACTGGACCAGCGAAGTCCGGGGCGCGCCAGAGAGCGTCGGCGAACCCGAGTTCCAGAGCACTCGAGCCTTACCTTTCCCCGACTCTTCGAGGCAGGGAACGAAGCCCGTGTGCACTGGTGCCCCTCCCCCTCTCCGGCGGCTGGGAGCCAGACGAGGCCCCACCTCAGACCCCCCCCCGCCCAACCGGCTCCGAAAAGGGTACCTTTTCCTCCTCGGACCCTCCGCGCGCGGCGGACCCCGATAGCGAATCTGCACCCTCCTGTGCAGGTTGGGCCCGTTTGTCTTTGTCGAGGCAGGGAACGAAGCCTGTGCGCAGTGCCAGGTCGGGCATGCCCTCCTGCAGGCGGAGGTTGAACGAAACATCAAACATAGAATCTTAAAACAGGAGAAAAAAAAAAAACATAAAAAATATGTGCATAGTTGTCCCAAAAATCGTCCCCAGACTACTTTGGTTACTAGAGTGATGAAAAAACGGCCCTACCCTGGGTTACAAGTGCGTGGTCTGTAAACCTCCTGGTAACCCCCAAAGCCTAGAACCGCCAGGTCGCCGCACATCACGCAGGGTTTACCCTGTCAGCCCACAGGAGTTTCAGCGCAAAGCGCCTCGTAAACCAGGGTAGGGGCGTTTTTTTCTGCCCTTGATTACTATCTTTGGATACTCCCCCTGTACAGGGACAGGCCCGACTTTAAAAGTGCAGTGGTGCCCCTCCCCCTCCGGCGGCCAAGAGCCAGGCGAGGCCCCACCTCGCCCCACCACCCCAAGCGGCTCCAAAAGAGAGGCAGCCGCGCCCCCCTCGCGCCGTTCCCCCGAACGGGAAGAGCAGGGAGGAGGAGGAGGAGGAGGAGGGAGGAGGAGGAGGAAGAGGAGGGGGAAGAGGAGGGGGAGGGAGGAGGAGGGAGAGTAGGAGCATAGAGAGTAGGATGATGAGGAGAAGAGGAGGAGGAGGAGGAGGAGGAGGAGGAGGAGGAGGAGGAGGAGGAGGAGCAGGAGCAGGAGCAGGAGGCCCTACGCGGCGGATCACCATCTGCGCGACGAAGTCGCCGTCCTTGTGCTCCGTCAGCGACTGCAGCTGGGCCCGCAGGCTGCCGCTGCGGCCCAGGAAGTTCTTGAGCCAGGCCAGCGTGCCCGCGTTCTCCTCCGTGTAGGCGGTCTTCTGCTGCCCCTCGCGGGAGGAGGAGGGAGCAGCGAGAGCGCACGAGCAGACGCTCGGCTGCCTGCGCAGACTCTGGGGGTCGGCGACCTGCCCCCCCCCCTCTCCCCTGGCGCGCGACGCGCGCCAGGGAAGGCGCCAGTGGCGCCGCCGAGGGGGATCCAGCGCCGACCTGGGAGGTCCGCGCGGGCTTCCAAAACAGTATGCTCGTGCCGTTCTTGTGCTCGGCCTCGATCGACGCCACCGTCGCCTGGACCTTCTGCTCATCCTCGGCAAGCTTCTTGTCGAGCTTCATGAGGGCCTCCACCGAGCAGCCCTCCTCGATGCACTCGTTGATAGCGACGATGCACCCCTCGTCGCAATCGAGCACCGGCTGCGGCGGAGGAGAGACGTCGGACTCCAGCTCCACTCCGACGTTCACCTTTTGGAGGCCAGGATCACACTGCATCGCCGATGCATCGGCGGCGTCGCATCGGCGAGGGCAGCTTCGAGAACACAGGGCTGCAGATCGCACCGCATCGCCGATGCGTCGGCGGTGAGGCGCGACCCTGCGACCTCATCTACTCCAGCCCCACGGTCCCCAGACCTGGAGGTCGTCGATCGTCTCCCCGCAGGGCCAAAAACGTGATAACAAACATCGGTCCTCGATCCTCCCCCAAAGGCCGCACTTGGAAGAACTGGAATCATGAATCCGACGCGAACCCTTTGTGGGCCCCAGAAACGGCAGGGCAATCTTTCCACCGTTTCCAAAAAAAAAATCCCTTGAAAATGGAAACGGCAAAAAAACGGCAACCGGAAACGGCAAAAAAACGGCTCCAGGATTGGAACCGGAGCCGGAACCGGTCAAAAAACGGCGACGGAACCGGTAAAAAAACGGCGTCGGAACTGGCAAAAAAAACGGCAAAACGGAACCGGTAAAAAAACGGCCCTGTCGTTTCCAGGGCCCACTAAGCGCGAACCCAATTTGGGAAAAGCTTCCTCTTGCGGGCGCGTTGCTTGGCGTTGTGTGGCATTTCTTGACACTGTTTGACATTGCTTTGCTGTGCAATGAACAAGACCAGGAAACCAGAGGAACAAGCCCAGGGAACCGGAAGGAGGGCAAAGAACGGGAGCCCAATGCAATTTCAAGGAAACAGGACCTAGGAATCCCCGAGGAGGGCCCTGGTGAAGAAGCAAGACCAGGGAATCCCGAGGAAGGCAGCAACGACTGCGCCCAGCACCCCCTGGCTCTTCACAGACAATAAAGAACCCCTAGGCAAAGCCGAATGGAGCGACGACCAGAAACCGAGGGCGCTCACGCGCGACCTTACGCGGCGCACTGACGCGGCAACGTCGGTGAAGACCTCCTCCTCCTCCTCCTCCTCCTCCTCCTCCTCCTCCTCCTCCTCCTCCTCCTCCTCCTCCTCCTCCTGCTCCTCCTCCTCCTCCTCCTCCTCCTCCTCCTCCTCCTCCTCCTCCTCCTTCTCCTGCGTCGCTCAATGGGGGAACAGACACGCTCAAAACCGCCGTGCCCAGCCCATCCTGGTCCGCTCCGCGAGCCGCGCCCAGCCGGGCGACGAGGGCGCCCCGAGGACCAGATGAGCAGGGCGCTGCGCTCGAGGCTCGGGGGGAAGGGGCGGGTGCGGCCCCCTCCCCCATCCCACTCTTCTCCTGGCCCGTCGTCCCAGGACCCCCCCCCTTTCCCGATCAGTCGTCCTGGACCACCGGTCCTCAACTCCCATCCAACCAGGCGGGGGGGTTCGAACCCCCCCCCCTCCCCCATCTTGCCACAACGCCCTCTGGCTCCGGAATCCTACCTCTACCACCACCCTACCACCCTGATCCTAGCACCCTGACCCTAAGCCCTCCTAGCACACCTAACACCCTAAGCTGAACATCCGGACCCTAACGCCCTGACCTAAACATCCTATCCTATCGCCCTGACCCTAACAACAAATCCCTAACTCTACCACCCTGGCACCCGCACCCTAACACATGAAAACACTAACCGTAGCGCCCAAACCCTCGCAACGGATAACACCCTGACCCTTATACCCTTTTCCTAACACCCAAGCCCTAACATCCGATCCGTAACCCACCACCGTCCTAACCCGAACACCCCGACCCTACCCCTAACCCTCGCACACGACCACAAGCATCCTAATCCTAACATCCAAGCCCGCCTACCACTAGCACCCTAACACTGGCAACCAAACCCCACCCCTCCCCTCCCGCCCTAATCGTACCACCCTAGCCTTAACGCCCGAACCCAAATCCTTACACCCCATACCTAACACCCTAAGCCTAACAACCGAGCTACCACCCTCACGCCAACACCCAAGCTGTCACACTAACACCATGACCTTAGAATTCTAGGCCTAAAGCCCTGACTCTGACCCGAAATCCGTAGCACAAACAGACACACACACACACACGAATTAACCCTGACATAATCCTGGTTAACACCCTTGCGCTGTCCAGGGAAACGGAAGCCGGGGAGGTCACAGCCCCCTGCCAAGAGAGGACAGGGGGGGGTCGACACCACCCCCCCCTCGGGCGCCAAGGGGGGAAGGGGGGAGGGTCCGCAACCCCCACCCCACCACCCTTTTGAAGGGGGGAGGGGGGGTCCGAGAAGGAGGGGGGGGGGGGGGGGGACTTTTTTTTTGGGGGGGGGGGTTCAGGGGGAAGGGGGGAGGGTTCGCAACCCCCACCCCACCACCCTTTTGAAGGGGGGAGGGGGGGTCCGAAAACAGACCTCCTGGAAGGAGAAGGAGGGGAGGGCAGGCCCCCCCGTTCAGCTGGAGGGGCCTCCGCTGGCGCTCTTCCCGTGCAAGGGCACGGAGGGAAGAAGGAGGAGAGGGGAGGAGGGGGGGAAAGGAGGACCTCCGCCTCCCGGTTCTCTCCTGGCTCCCTCCCCAGTCTCCTCCTCCTCCTCCTCCTCCTCCTCCTCCTCCCCTCCTCCTCCTCCTCCTCCTCTCCTCTCCTGCTCCTCCTCCTCCTGCTCCTCCTCCTCCTCCTCCTCCTCCTCCTCCTCCTCCTCCTCCTCCTCCTCCTCCTGCTTCTACTCTGGTCCGGTGGCCAGCCCCAGCGCCGTTGTGGCTGACTGGAGTTTTCTTCCTCAGCTCTGGCCGTGTGCTGAATAAGAGCTCTCCATGGTTCCCTGGCTCGGCCCCGTGGGAGGAGCGAGGGCACTCGGGCGTGCTCACACGCCAGGCCCCAGTGGACACTCGTTCCAGAGTTGGACGGGTGCTAGGGTCGCGGCAGCGGGGGAGGGAAAGGGGAGGGGGAGGACGAGGAGGGGGAGGAGGAGGATCCAGAGGCGGGACCAGTGTAAATCCAAGACCGCTCCAAGTCCCCTCTTCATAAGTCCCTACACGAAATGAGCTTCATTGCGGGAAGTACCCCATTGGAAGACAACATTCGGAGAATCCTCAATCGTGCCAAACACACAAATCCTGGGGCTTCAGTGCTTCGAATCAACGTGACTGTTGCGCCCTGACAATTCTACCTCGTGCCAGAACACAATTCCTGGGACCTCAACACCACGATGCATCGTCACAGCTGCGTCCTGACAATCCCAAATCGCGCCAGGACACCTTTCCTGGGACGTCAACCATACGAATATTTGAGACTGCTCCAAACTTACACGGCGAGTGCACGCAGCGATGAAGCGAGAGTCGCATGTTGAAAATGAAACGGCCCTCTTCCTTTGAAAGTGCTGCAAACGTTTAAGACAAACGTGAATTAAGCCGACATCTATACTTGAAACTGCTGCAATATTCTTAAGCAACTCAGCGCGGCCCTAAAGCGAGAGCTGCATATTGAAAACCACTGGTCGTCCATCCTTGAAACTGCTGCAAAGTTTTAAGAGTAATGCGGCGCCGAGGCGAGAGCCACATTTTGAAAACAACCCGCTCTACATCCTTGAAACTGTTGCAACGTTCAAGCTTCAGGATCAGATAGGGTGAGGAGGTCTCAGACGAAACGCCGAGCCCGCCCTGCTGACACGTCTGAGGGCGCGACAGGGAAAAGTTAAGTAGAATGGACAGGGATGGAAGCGAGGGAGGGGGCGGAGGCCTTTCTGGAGGTCCCCAAAAGCCTCCTCCTCCTCCTCCTCCTTCTCCTCCTCCTCCTCCTCCCCCAAAGTCCCGGACAGGGTCCCAGGAACGCCTCGGGAGGCCTCCCGGGGGCCACAGACCTTCCGACAACCTGAAGCAGCTGCAGAGCTCGGGTGCCTGCAGCTTCCCCACTCGAAAGACCTCCCCAAACAGCTGAAGAACGATGAGGACGAAGAGGAGGGAGAGGGGGAGGGGGAGGCGCAAGCGAGCCACGAACCGCAATCGCTTGAAAGCGTCGAAACTACCGGTTGTCTCCTCCAAGGGCTGCGGACATCGCAGGGCCTGGGGTTTTGCAAAATGATTCGCTTGCGCCCGTCAAACGAGTGCGGTTCGCGGCTCGCGTGCGCCTCCTCCTCCCCTTCCTCCTTCCCCCCCTTCCACCACCTCCAGAATGGGTCTGGAACCTTCCCCGAGTCGAATGCGCTGCGGGCCACGCGGGGGGCGGCCGCGACACGCCCGGTGCCCAGGAAGGCCACCCGCAGGCTGGCGCCGCACAGCAGGCAAAGGGCCGCCAGGGTCAGCGGGGCGGAGCGCATCGGCGCCATCGCCTCGGGCAGAGGCGGCGACGGCGGCGGCGCAGGCGGCGGCGGCGCGGCGGCGGCGACCACGGCGGCCACGACGGAGGCGACGGCGACCACAGCGGAGACGGCGGCGGCGGCGGCGGCGGCAACGACCTCGGCGGCGGCCATGGCGGCGCCACGGCGCGGCGGCGGCCACGGCGCAGGCGGCGGCAGTGGCGGCGTCCACGGCGGCGACCACGGCAGCGGGGAGCGCACCGTCGTCGGCCAGGGTGGTGGCGGTGCGGCTGGATGGCGGCCCGAGCGAGACGGCGGTCTGAGCCAAAGAAGCAGTTGCGGAGACGGGGGCGTGCCTCACAGGGCACTTCCTTGGGACACCCGACGGGAACCTGCCAGGACGCCTCCTTGGGACGCCCGAGGGTATCTGCCAGGACGTTCCCTCGGAGCGTCTGGCGGCACCTGCCAAACACTTCCTCGGGGCGTCCGAAGGCGCTTGCAACGGCGTGTCCTTGGCACGTCCGACGGTAATTGCCGGGGCACTTCCCTTAGGGCGAGCGCAGGTACAGCCAAAACCAGTCATCAGGACGGAATGTAAGTAAGGATGCAGGGCTAAGCTGCTCACCGGAGTGGCCTTCGGCAAGAACTCCATATGGTGCGCAGCTTGCCGATCGGCGCATGCGATGCGACAGCAACGGCCTGTATGCTTGGGATTGGCCCCCGCGCGGCCCCAGAAAGCCGCGAGCCAAAGGCAATCCTGGCGAAGGGTCACTCTGACGTATAAACAGAAGGCGCCCAGGCCGCGCCGAAATGAAGAAAGGCGTCAGGACAGTCAAACAAACTCCTGGACTGCGGAAGCAGAGGGCATGTCAAAAATGCCCAGAACCGAGAGACGCAAGGATACCTCGCTCCATGGGCTCACCAATGACGCCGCGTTTGACTGTACAGGAACGGCCCAGAGGAGGGATACCTCCTCATCCTCCTGTCCCTGCTCCTGCTCCTGCTCCTGCTCCTGCTCCTGCGCCTGCTAAGACACTGCTGGCGGACACGCACACTCCGTGATACCGCCGCCACAACCTGGGTGGCACCCTGCCCCAACTCCTGCTGCTGCTGACGACGCACTCACGCGTCCGCACGCCACTCTGGCCGCGGCGGCGGTCGGCGCGCAGCCGTGCGCCAACAAGTCAGTGTCGGCATTTGCCCACTGCGCGACGCGCCCGAGGGCGGCGCGCCAGCGCGGCAGCAGGCGGGGCGCGGCCCAGGCGTCCCCGAGGCAGCACCCGGCGCGCTTTGCCAGGAGGTCCAGCGAATGCAGCGTCTGAATCCCGACGCGGCCGTAGGACCCCACCGCGATGGTCAGCAAGTCCTTGCCGTTGGGCGCGCTTGTCAGCAGCCGCCGCTGATGCCGCCGAGCCAGGGCAGGAGGCGGCGCGCGTGTAGCGCTGTGCGAGTGGGCGGCGAATGGACTCGCTGTCCGGAAAGGTGACGCACAAGTCCACGATGGCCTCCGTGATGGAGCTATTCCTCCTCGTCCAGCTCTGCTGGGCCGCACGCTCCGTGCCCACCTCCGCCGGCACGCGGGCAGCAGCATGGCCACTGCTGCCGCGAGAGCCCTGCGTGGGCGCATGCGCGCAGGGCCGTACTTGCACAGCTGCGGATGCCGGAGCGCGGGGTCCAGCGGCTGCCCGCGCTTCGCCGCACGGACGGCGCCATTGCTCAGCTTGCCTGCGGCCTTGCGGAACACGTCCTCGTCTCGCTTCCTGCTCGCGAGTAGCTGGGAGGTCGCCCAAGTAGACGAGGATGAGGTGACTGAATCCGCACTGCTCAGCATAGTGTGAGAGCTCCTTGAACATGGCGGCTTCTCAGCACCGTGCGGCTCCGGTTCGGACTCCAAGACGTCTGTGCGCACCGCACGCCGACGGCGCAGGAGGAGCGCTGGCGCCAGCCAAAGAAGCTGGCTGGCGCGCGCCGAACGTGCCACCTTGAAGCGGGCGCACCGCGCCTCGCAGCTGCTGGCTCCGCGTCCCGGTGCTGCGCAAGGAGATCCCGGTTAACCGAACCAACGCGAGAACGGAGCTGCGCGGGCACACGCATGAAGGTGGGGAGTTCAGGAGCCGCGACGGACTCCCGGAGCAAGGCATCGATATCGGCCGTGCAGGCTGGGGTGGCCGCCTGAGCAAGGGCATCAGCACCTTCTCCTCCTCCTCCTCCTCCTCCTCTTCCTCCTCCTCCTCCTCCTCCTCCTCCTCCTCCTCCTCCACCGCTTCCTCCTGCTTCACCTCGTCCTCCGCCAACTCCGACTCCGTCTGCAACATCTGCTGCGATGTCTCCTCCACCTCCTGGTGCTCCTTCTGCGCCTCCAGGTGTAGCCGGAGGCGCAGGCGCGCCGCAGGCGTGCTCCCCGAAGGCGGACACCTGGCACCGGGCAGAGCAGAAGCCTGCGTGGCATGCCACGCACTGTTTTCGTCGGCGGCGAAGCAGAGTTGGCTGCACCGGCGCTAGAGCTGAACGGGGGCATCGAGAAGCGAATCGGCCAGCGTGCAAGAGCGGGGAGAGAACAGACGGGGTGGCATGCCACGCACCTGTAGCCCCACCTGTCCTCACCCCCGGACGCGACGCAGGCCAGGCCGGGCACGCCTCGCCTCCTCGCGCGCGCGCCATCTCTCCGAACCAGACGGGGAGCGGCAACACCGCCGCCCGGCGCAGCTCGGTGACGACCTGCGCGAGGGCGGCGAGGGCCTCCAGGACGTTCTGGCTGGCGTCGTCCCCGCCCGTCGCTGAAGTCCGGCTGACGTTCTGGCTGACGTTCTGGCTGGCGTCGTGCTGCGGCCATGAAGGCGCCGTCGCTGTCCAAGGTTTCGGCGGGTGCCTCCTCCGCCCGTGCAGGCGCAGCGAGGAGGGCGGCGGCGGCGGCGGCCGCGGCCACCGTGCGGGCGCCCTGCAGGCCGCAGCGACACACGGCGTGGAGGTCAGCGCCCATCCTCCTGCTCCTGCTCCTGCTACTGCTCCCTCCTCCCTCCTCCCCTCCTCCTCCTCCTCCTCCTCCTCCTCCTCCTCCTCCTCCTCCTCCTCCTCATCATCATCATCATCAGCAGCAGCAGCAGCATCAGCATCAGCATCAGCATCATCATCAGCACAGCATCATCATCATCATCATATCATCATCATCATCATCATCATCATCATCATCTCATCATCATCATCATCATCATCATCATCATCATCATCATCCAATCCATCAGCATCAGCATCAGCATCATCATGCTCATCCTCATCATCATCCTCATCCTCATCCTCATCCTCATCATCATCCTCATCATCACCATCATCATCAGCAGCAGCATCATCATCATCAGCATTATCATCATTATCATCATCATCATCAGCATCATCATCAGCATCAGCATCGGCATCATCATCAGCAGCCTTATCATCAGCATCCTCATCATCCGCATCATCAGCAGCAGCATCAGCATGAGCATCAGCAGCATCATCAGCATCAGCATCATGCTCATCAACAGAATCAGCATCAGCAGTATCATCATCATAATCCTAGTCACAATCAGCATCAGTATCAGCATCATCATCATCAGCAGCATCATCAGCATCATCACTATCATGATCATGATCATCATCATCATCATCATCATCATCATCATCAGCATCATCATCATCATCATCAGCATCAGCATCATCATCATCATCATCATCATCATCATCATCATCATCATCATCATCATCATCATCATCAGCAGCAGCAGCAGCATCAGCATCATCATCATTACTACTTTATCAGTACTCCTCCTTCCTCATTATTCCTTCCTCCCTCCTCTCTCCTCATTCGTCCTTCCTCCTTCCTCCTTCCTCCTTCCTCCTTCCTCCTTCCTCCTCCTCCTCCTCCTCCTCCTCCTCCTCCTCCTCCTCCTCCTCCTCCTCCTCCTCCTCCTCCTCCTCCTCCTCCTCCTCTTCCTCTAAGGGGGGAGGGAGGACCTTCCCGGTACAGCTGCCTACGCCCCTCCAGAAACGCGGGTGACTCCAAAGAGCGGGTGAGGGGCTTATTACGCATGCTGGGCCCTTCGATCGAGAGAGAGAGAGAGAGCGAGAGAGAGAGAGAGAAGCAGAGAGAGAGGATGAGCAGCAGCAGCAACAGCAGCAGCAGGCGTCCGATAACTACGCACCTTTTTCCAGGCTCGGAAGCGGAGCTCCCCCGTCGGCGGCGGGGCGGGGCGCTCCCGGGAGCCGAGCCCGCACGCGCGACGGCGCCCGCGGAGTGCCGGGCCCCTAAAAAGGCGGGCCCGGCAGCCTGCGAGGGCCTCTCAGAGGGCGCGCGCCGCCGCTGCACGCAGGGCGGCGGAACTCCGCCGCGCCGCGCGGCGCCCCCCGCGGGGCGCAGCGGGGCGCCCTCGTTCCCTGCTGGAGCCCATGGGGCCCTCGAGGGCCTCGCGCGGGGGGCTCCTGGGAGGCCGCGGGGGGCCTCCCGGGAGATCCCGGGGGCACCCTTGGGCCCAGGGGGCACTCCTGGCGGCGCCCGACGGGACCCCTGGAGGCCCCCGGAGGCCCCGACGAGGCCCTGGAAGAGCGCGCCGCCGAGAGAGAGAGGGAGAGAGTGACTACCTACCAGACCACCCCAACCCAACCCGAAGACCCGAATTTCGGGTTGGGGGGGGGTACGGGTTCCATATGTGTTTTCTCGATGTTCCCCGACACC